AATGTTAAAAAAAGTATTACCATCTTCTAAATCTTTAGTTCTTTGTCCATGTTTTGTTTTGACCTGTAGAACCTTTTAGTATTGAATTAAAATATTTTTCAATGCATTGTTTTATATATACATATATTAAATAGCCATTTTTGTTGCAAATGAAAAAAGTACAGAATCTGAGAACAATTTTCATTGCACTCACATTGCAGTGTCCTAAGTGGTAAGACAGTAGAATCAGTGGGAATTAAAGAGCATGTGTAATTTTTTCGTGTCTTTATCATTTAGAGTAGATAAGTGGCATCATAAAACACCTTAATAGCCTTTCACTTCTGCTTATAAATTACTGCAAAAATTACTTTCATTGAATCCATAGCAGTTGTGCATTTAGAGTCAGGAATCAATCTTAGATCAAGATTTAATTCTGTAGCCCAGTTTGTAGTTTCTGAGGTGTGACTTTGCGTGTGCATGTGTGTATATACACAGTATATTGAAGGCTGTCAGTAGAGGGGGTTGTCTAGGCTTTGCAGATCTGTGCCACTGCAGTAATCCATTAAAGCCAGTTTACATTAGAGTTAATTGCCAGTACTGAACTGTCATCTAATTTTCTGCCTTGTAGAAAATTCACAATTACGTTGCTGTCAGCCCAGTTGGATGAGTTAAGCAGGGTCTGACTCGAGAGCCATATTTCTGGATGTTTTTATAGCTCTGGTTTTTCATTCATCATTTCGGTGTGCCTGTGCCCTCGGACAGAGACTAGAAAGCAGGGAAATACAATGCAGTTGTTGAAGTTGTGCCCTGGGAATGAAAGGCTCAGCATTAATTTAAGTAAGGGGAGCAGGGTGATTAATTATTTTAATTTATGTGCTCCCTTTAGCATTATACTGCAATGGGCATAGTTAAACACAGATTTATGGCATCTAATCTGCTGTAGGGGTGTTTCATTTTTTTTCATTACATCAGAAAATTAAGATGCTCTTCAGAACAGACAGCAACTAATTTAATTGCCTGCATTAGAATTCTATGTACTCTTAAGGACAATTTTACAGCATGTGATGATAGTAGTATCCCTTGAACTATTTTGAATTCAAAATAATGTGGGCTTCTGGTGCAGGCTCAACAGATTGCTACTATAGGTACTACATTGTTTTGAGATGTGTTGCTGTCTTCATAAGATTACATTTGGACAGGTTTCACAGACCTGAAGGAGACAGAGTAACGTGAAGTGTTGTCATCAGGGGGGTCTGTGTCTGAAACAAGTGGTTTTCACAGAGACCAGTATTATGTCATCTCTCATAATACCTGAAGAAGAAGAGCCCAGCTGTGGTTATGTGAAAGAAGGTCATCTTTTTTTGTACTTGATTTTCATTCTAGGTGGATTTACGGGGGATTTTTAAATTTGCGTTGGGAGGAAAAGATTGCCATTCTACAGTTGTTTTGCCTTTTTGCAGTTGTATTTTAGCATGCAGCAACGTTTGTCATTTCTGGTGATCTTTATTCTAGAATATGTCCTGTAAAAGTTTATTTTATCTTGGGACTCAGGTTAGAGAATCCACTGTTATGCATATAAACTCCATTTATACATTTTCCATATTTATAATATTCTTTTCCTTGGCTTTTTCACTTACACCATGGTGAAGTGAACAGCCTCATACAGTACTTGTCTGTTCTCCGTCTTGCATGAGATGTTTTTGCTGAGTCACTTGTTCCCAAATGTATTTTCTCAAACTAGACTAAGCCTTTAAAATTGTATTGCTATCATTTTATAAATATCATTAAAATATGTATAGCCATTGAAAGTAGGGTTGGAGCTATTACATTTTGCTCTGTTCTGTGGAAGAGCAACTACACTGTAATAAATTGTGTGTCAGATGACTGTGTTAGTGTTTCTCGGCATTACACTGATGCTTTTTGTATCCGGTGCTTTTCTTAGTTTGACAGAGCCATAGACAGAAGAAAGGAGCAATAAAATGAGTCCCACTAGATACTGTTCTCTATTCTCCTTTACTTGACAGACTCCGGGCTGTTGCTAATAAAGCTTTTATGTAGAGTAGCTGGTAAATTTAATGCTAAAGCCATTTTTAATCTGGTTGAAGCAGCCTACTGATCTGGCTGTAGTAGGTGGTGTGTCACTGCAGTCTTTCCCCCGTAGATAACAAACATCAAAGATCTTCGTTACTGTCCTGCAATGAAGCAGTTTAAATGTATAGCTGGCATTTGCTAATGTTATAGTCTCCTTGTAAGTTAAACATTTTTTTTATGGCACACTTAATGCACACATGCAACAAGACTCCCATTTTGCGCAGTTTCTCAGGCACCACTTCTGTTTATTATATCAGACTCTGTTTTTACCCCCCTAAGCATTTCTGTTTATTTTGTTGTGGCAGGATTTTATATTTCTCTTCTGACAGGTTTAACTTTTTTAAATCAAGATTTTCCTGATTTTGTAGACATTGTAAGTAAATAGATGAAGGGAATCTTTTTGTTTTGTTCTGGCTTAGATGGATCTTTCAAACCTTTAGATTTGATTATACTTTTTTTTCATTGCTCTTGCTTTGAAATGACAAGACTTAACGTCTCTCTTCTGAGCTATCTAAATACATTTGGTTTGTATGCTTTCTTGTTTGTTTGGCTGATGCGTTCATTCAGATAAAATGTACAGCATTTGTTTCCGCCAGACGTTCCTGCCCGTTCTTACAGCAGGGGGTGCTGGGGCAGTCTGGGAGCGATGCCCTGCTGAAGGGCCTGTTGAGGGTGCCACCCCTGGGGTCGGAGGCCACAGGTCTCCTGCTGGGACCCTCCCCCCTGCTCCATATCATGCCTGAAAAACACATTTCCGCCCAGTTGTGGTGATGAGACTTCTCTTATATAATTTAAAAGAGGATTTCCAGCAAAAATACATTGAAACTGCATCTAAGAGTTACAGTACTAATCCAGATGGGCCAGTGTACGTTTTGCTCACAGTAAGTCTCATTGCATCAAATGACCTTGTGAATGGAATGGATTTTAATATTTAATCTGCTTGATATTTTTCTTATTTGTTTTCGCAACACTGTAAAACACTCCAAGAAACAGCTCGATGAGATGGGATTAATTAACTAATAATTACTCGCCAGGCTAGACAGGCTGAGTTGCTACTCTCGCTTGGAGGCCTTCTCTTGTCCGCAGAGGTGCCCGTGAGTGAGAGGCTACAGTACAGGGGGCTGGGCAGGACACTCCGGTCCCTAATACATCAGGGTCACAGTCCAGCTGGAGCTGAGAGATTGATCCAGTTTTGCCAAAACTAAAAAAGAATTGCTTATCAATTAAGATAAATGGGGTAAATGACATTAAGTCTCAAGTAAATATGGGGCTAACAATCGGAGCTCAAAACAGAGAGAATTATTTACTGCATTTCAGAATTGTTGTGTTTACATTTTGGTATTCTCAGTAAAAAGTACCCTAGTGTGATACCAAAAGTGTACCCATTTACACGTTTCTTTGAGGATCGCTGCCCTGGAGTGTTAAGACATTTATAGGAACTGGCACCGGAGTCTGAAATCCGTTTGCTGTTTTGTGATGGGCATAGACATACAGTGCAGTGCAGCTGGGAATCAGAGAAGCCGGGTGTTCCAGGCCTCCGAGGCTGGGAGTGAAGGTCAGTCTGAGGGGACTCGTGCCCTTCAGTCTCCTTCACTTGCTGGACACTGGAAAACTGGCGCTAAAGGTATTCTGAAGATATAAACATTGATTTGAGCTTTACATATCTGAGTTTTGTTAGGTCTGACAGCAGTAGGATGGATTCTGCTAGACTCCTGTCATGTCTGAGAAGGTGTAAATAAAACTGGCGTTATTTTCCTCATGGGCTGATGGCCGGGAGGTGGGAGGGGTTGTTCATGGGGCTGTTGGCTGTAAACTGTAGTCTACGGGGTGCTGCACCCCTCTTCTGTGAGCACTGCTGACAGTTCGCGAGGGTTTTCGTGTGGTTAGTGTCTGTGTGTGTCATGTTGCCGTGTCCGGTCAGTGGCGCAACCTCACATCTGTGGGTTCTGGCTTCGTTTTCCCTGTGTCTTGGGGTTCACCCTTTTCCTGCCACCCCCCCCAGACGTGATGGATGGTCTGTGGCCTTGTGGCGGGCGGGCACCTGGCCTGGGGAAAGCGCGCCATCCTGCCTGTGCCCAGCGCTTCAGCGATCGACTCTGGTCTTCACCTCGACGAGCAGCTCCGCTGAATAGATTGTGTGCAAAACTTTGTATTAGAGGGATAGTTGATCACTATTTTAAAAAAGGTGGACTGAATGGAGTAAATCTTCTGGGTTCTGAGACCGTAATGACACACTTTTATTATGACTAGTAGACGCTCATAATTGGCAGAAGTCTGGTTTTTGTGAACTTGTTGTTACAAGAGGTTACATTGTGTTTATAAACTTGACATGGAGCAATGAACATTTTTTTAAAGGATGGATTTTAAGGTAGTGGCTACCAGATACATTTGGAAAAAAAATTGTGGTTTTTAATACTCTGTTAACTCTTGGGCTGAACTCGCTGCGCCCGGTAGGATCTTTAGAAAGTGTTTTTTTTCATCGGTTTGCCATTTAGCAGCCGTGATTTCTTTATACTTTACACCATCATCTAGAATGTGTAGAACATTTTTGAAGGTTAATCCTTTAATTTAAAACCATTACTATTTATTTTCTGTCGTTTGACTCTTTATAACCTTTTATATATTTTTGTAATATTTATAACCTGTCCTAAACTTCTTGTGATGAGCTTTTCTTATTCTCCGAATGTGCCTCCAGATGTACAGTAGTGAGTTGGGGGGTTCCTTTGACAGGCCCGCACCTGGTTCCTCACTAATAAGGACAGCCTGTCTTCCTTGCGTTGACGCAGCACTGGTTCCAGAAAGCTGCAGCTCTGCCTGCTGCCTACTCCTGCCATCAGCACTAAGGCGCCTGCTCACCACGCTCCTTCAGTCTGTGGGTAGCCCCTTCATTCTTCCTCCCTTCACTCCTCTTTTTCTTTTTTCCCTCGCAGGTCTTCAAGATCAAAGCTGTCCAGCTGGCAGAGAAGCTGCTGCCGGCTTTTAACACCCCCACGGGCATCCCCTGGGCGATGGTCAACCTGAAAAGGTGAGGGTCCCTCCCTGTGTGGCGCCCAGCGCAGCCGCCTGACTGTCAGTGCCAGCCTTCAAGGTGAAACTGTGCGGCGGGAATGTCGGAAGCCCAGGTGCTTTGCTCGGTGGCGGCCGGCGAGGCGTCTGAGTTTCACAGACATGTGCCGGGGCTGCTCGCAGTGCCACGAAGACCGTTAACTCCCCTCTGCTAGCTTTCCCACTGGACCTACTTTGTTTTGGAGCTTGGGTTCTTTTATTCTGTACTTTTAAAATAAAAGGTTGTGCATGGGCCTCATTAATGTTTTGCAGTTTCTTAGCTTTGAACAAGGTACATTGAGCTCCGGGGTGTATCCACTAGGGGATCATGGGAGAATAATCAGGTTCCAGGTGCTGCTGTGACATACCATAGAAACAAGTTCCTCTTTGCAATTATGAATTTCAAAGGTGGCTTCATCCAAGAGCATGTTCAAGACTGGCTTACGTGCTTCCCAGTCATTCAGCAATCACGGCACGTTTTATCTAGATGTATCAGAAGGTGCTTCTTTATTATTTTCTAAATGAAATACCTTAAAAACTGTACTGTTTTCAACATATTGTCCTCACAAAATCATCAAAAACTAAATTTATCATTCACATATGTTCTGTATGTTTTCTTCTCGCAGTTGACATTTAAATTTCTTTTAAGACGTTTGGAGCATAATTGTACAAACAAAAAAGATGTGGCTCCACTGCAAACTGCAGTACGGAGAAAACACCTTTTGTCTGATTATAATGAAGCAATGAAGGCAGGTGATAGCTGAGAATAGAAGTGCATGTTTCAGCTTCCTGCTGGACTGGAAATGTGTGTAAATACCCGTTCCCCAGTGACTTCTCTGGTTTCTTCTGCCACCTGAGAGTTACACAGGAGTTATCTGAGATGTCTGGGCGAGGGGAAGGCCAGACAGAAGAGTACTCGTGTCTAGACAGTGCAGTGGGCTGCACAATCACAATTTAGAAACCACAGAGAAGAAGAGGCGCTGATTGGTTTTAGATCCAAATTCAAGTGTTTAGTGAATTGCTTGTTGCTCACACAGGGGTAGAGGAAGAATTTAAACTGAAAAAGACTGCTTTACAAGGCCGAAGGCTTTCATTGCCTCTAGATGTCTGAATAGAAAAATTGCGTATTAGTCTCAGTAATAGGTCTGTGATATGTTATGACTTTTGCGAAAGTGCAGTATGAACTTTTTCACTGGTGAGCCAAAGAACGGAAGAGTTACCGAGAGTGAACCGGTATCCTTTGATGAAGTAATAATGCCATCTAGTCAGGTGCATCCCATTACAGCCCATTTGATTGACCTCTGTATAACACTTCCATGTTGACTGGTTCGATGACCAGTGGCCTATACCAGGTGGTAATGTGGAAATATTGGGAGACTGTTCTTTTGTTCTGTTTTGGGGTCGCCTGTATGGAAAGAAAGAACCATTCTCTCACATTTTGCATTGTTCATCAAGAAATGTACAGTTTTTAAAAAAGGGAACAGAATGGTGCCGTGAACCAGACAGGAGCCAGTTACTGTATGCTATTCGTTTTCAGGAGATTGCATCTTTGACCACTGTGTGATGTAATCAGAAGAGCTCAAGTTCTTTCATTCGTTGTCTGGTACATCGCGATCCTTATTCAAGACCACAGGCTGAATGTCTGGAACAGGGCATACAACAGAAGCACGTATGTGTGGCATTACGGATGGCTGTGAAGCAATCATTGAAGATCCTCTTGTCAAGAAGTGCTTTTAAGATCATGCAAAGGCAGGCTGCTCTCCAGACAATAAGGCATCCCCATTCAAGTGTGTTTTCATGTAATCGCCATCATTCTAGTCTCTTAAGCTAGAGATGCTGTTCTCTCATTCCATCTTCAAGATTACATTAGCATATGTAGTTTCTGATTGCCTGTGCTGGCTGAGTGCTTCCTGAATCATCATTGTTTCTTTGAAATGGGGAATTTTTTTTTTTAGATCTCTCTCTTCTTTAATGAGATATCTCGGTAAATGAATCTTCAGCAACACTAAAGTAGCATGTAAACTGTCTTTTTGGCACCAGTGGTGTGTTTCCCACTTAACAGGGACAGATGGGAAAATATCAGTAATACATGGAAGGGCGTGCCCTGTCAGCTCTGGCTACTCTTCTTGAGTTTCTCCATCAGGTGAACAGCTCCTTGCTGCCATATACAAATACTGTAGATAGGACAGTGTCCCAGATCTCATTCCAAACCTTGCTTTTTACCAGCAGTGTTTTCCTTGTTTAAACAAATCAAGAAACGTTTATCTCCAAAACTCAGCTCTTTCCACCATCCAAAACTGAATCAAACTAACTTGTTTCTCTTTCTGTCTTATGTTCTTTTCACCTTTGACCTCTGGTCAATTGCTGACCTCATGCCTGAGCTTTCTGGTAAATGTAGTCCTTGGGGATGCTTGGCTGCATCCTCCACTTTGCCACAAAATGTAGGGTTTCTGCCAATTAGCTCATCTCCCTATTGGGGCACAATAGCCATGAAGACATTGAGGGGAATATCCAAAAATATCTTGTTTTTCTGTTTATGTTAATATTGAGCTAAATTGTTTTTTTTAATCTATGCACTCTACAATGTCCTTAAATGCTTTTTGTTCCAGTGCAAACCAGTCCTAAATCTGCCACAGGAAAGCAAAAATATTAAAATGATTTGGAAGTTTAAATTAAAAAGCTGTAAGTTTTATTACTCTTAGCCATACATATGTTGTCTTTTGCATGAGTCCCCCTTAAATGTTATTTGGGTAATTGGAAATGGGAATTTGGGGAAACATTTGTGTCCTGCAGCACAGCCTCTGTAAACCATACTGGTAGTGGTTTTACATTTGTATTTTACTCTGATTAAAGATTATCTTTGCTGTGTATCCTCAGGTCCATTCATTTATTTACTGTGGTTTTAAATCATTCCCAGGCTCTTGAGGTATTTTATTCCTAACCTGTATTCGTACAAGGGGTAAAGGCCCTACCAGAACAGACTTCTGTGTTTAAAACAGATAAACCTGGAACACATATGACTTCAACACACAGGCATGAGAGAGAGGCAGAACCCTTTATTAAATATGTTGCATAAACAGTGTCTACAGATTAAATGCTGTTAGTATTCCGGGGATGATTCGTCACTGCTGAGCAAAATCCCTTCACGTTTATTAAAAACTAAATTGACCAGTGCTGGAGACCAGTGGCCCTTAGTTCCAACGGCTGCTCTGTAAACTCAAAATGAATATTGTGGGAATTCTAAAGTAAACTGTTGCTTTTGCTGGCAACAGTATTTTTTTCTTTGTAGGCCGAGTCTGCTGGGGCATGTGTGTGTGATACAGATGTAAAGCAGCTCAAAATGAGAAAGTAAGAGGAATCTGAGCCTTTACTTCATATCTGATGCTAGCTTTAAGGTGGTTATTGTCTGATGCACTCATAGAAGATTCTTCACTAGATGTGTTTTACAGTATCAATTAATACATAAGTATTTCAGGAAATGTGTTACATTTATGGCGTTTTGCAGTATTCACAAACGGGCATTTCTAGAGCCTTCAAACATGAGACACTCGCACAGCCTCCTCATTTCTCCATGTTATTACTGTACCTCTGCAATATGTATAATTGCACTAATATAGTTGTTATGTTTATCGTTTATAGTTTCTCCATGTAATTCCTTGTTTTCTGAGAATATCCTCGGAATCTGGCACATTGACAAATCGAGGTCCGATCCAGGCTCCATTCATATACTGTACAGCCAAATTTTATTGTAAAACGTTAGCCTTGGTTATGTACTTTTTATTTAGTGTACTGTATCAAATATATTTTCAAGAAATATGATTATTGGGCTATGAACGAAAAATTAAGTGAAGCTCTCGTTCAGTTACGTATACCGCAAGCCTAGTGCCACCTGGTGGTCTGTTTGAGCAGTGGAGGGCTCACAGAGCTTTCCGCTGGCGGGAGTTTCGACACATCGCTTCCAGATGGCTGCTGCTGTACACATGCTGCACAGGCACACTGGAATTAAAATGAAGGTAACTGAGCCCACCCAGTATGGTAATGAGTGGGCTACCCGTCGCACGTCATGAAACAGCAGGGGCTGCAGAGTAAAGTTACCTTGTGCTGGTAGGGTTGGTTTGTGCTGTGCGGTCACCCCAGGAGGCAGACTTTGAAATCTTAGTCAGTTTTAACACCGTGTGGGAGGAGTAGGTCACCTGAGTAATGAACTGAAAGCTAAATACCGTGATCTCTACTATTTCTCGAGTTTCCAAAATGCGAACTGGCTCATGCACGATTGGTAAATAGGGGAAAGATGTCTGTTATACGCGATTTCATCTCTGACGTGTTTGTTTTGCGTCGCGGAGTAACACAACTGAATATGGCGGTCCTCAGAGGAATACACATGACGCTCAGTTGTCCCATGCGCTTTGTTTTGGAAGTGTTAATTGGGAGGTGCTCCTCAGTTTTCTGCTGTTTTCACTAAATCTTCTGCATTGCCATAAATATCGGTGGACAAGGTGACAAGAATGTGTCTAAGAAGCGTGCTGGTGATAAAATTTCAGGTGGTGAACTTTTCTTCAAGGTAAAGTCCTAAATTTACTGTAGAATTTTGTTATTTCTTATGAATTTAACATGTATTTTCACTGTGGTAACATTTTTATTAGGAAAACTACTAAATTTGGTAAAGCTTTGGTTAGGCATGTGGTTAGGTTGTGAGTGCTCTGTCCCCGACCCTATTTTTCCCCATAAGCCCTGTTACTGTATTTTTTTTGCACGATTTTGCAAAACGCGTGGTTTTACAGGAACGCATCTGTCGCATTATAGCAGAGACGCCTGCACAGTGTCTTTCACTACGATTGATACTTCTCTATAGCAGCCGAATTTCTTTTGTGAAAAAATAACTGTTTATTTTACAAAAAGAGATATTTTTAGTTTAAGTGAGCAAGTTCGGCCCAGATGGGACGTATAGGAAAGGTAAAAGTGTCAGATTGTATCATGCTGCCGGGAGGTTTGTTTTTTGCTGGGAGAGCTTGTCCATGAAAGAGAGGTTCTGTTCTCAGATAGTTTCTCTCTCTGCATTGCAGCGGAGTTGGCAGGAACTGGGGCTGGGCGTCGGCGGGCAGCAGTATCCTGGCGGAGTTCGGGACTCTCCACATGGAGTTCGTGCATCTCACCTACCTGACTGGCGACCCAGCCTACTACAACAAAGTGAGTGGAAAACCTGGCAGCAGCCCACACTCCGTCTCGGTGCTCATTCCTGGCACCATTAGGTGAACTCTAGTCAGAAAGCAATCCTCAAGCATGGACCTTTTTACCTTGGGAGCACACTAAAAAAATTAACGGTTTGTACAAAAACATGATAGTATTATTTGCACCAAAAATCCAAAATAAAACGTCCGTGGTGATTAGGCAATTTAATCATACAGGTGTAAATTCTTTTAAATTTATGATTTCTTCAGACCACGCTCAGCACAATTTGCATTAGACCTGAGTCTTTAAGCCCAAAACTGTTCCTGTGTCCTTGTTGCGCTTTAAAGGTGCAGACAGGTGCACTAATTGATTCCCAATTGGCTGGCTTTTGTTCCAACTGAGCTTGTGATCACCATTGCTAATTGGTGCCTTTAACTGATATTTTTGCTTGTTTAGACTTTTAAGTTTGCTTGTTTCTGCACTCAGTCCCGAGTTTCAGAAATATCCTGCTTCAAGCATTGTTTCCAGCAGCTTCCGCATAGTTTTAACAAGTTCTTGAAGACGGAGTCTGGATCTGCTTTGCAGTTTGCAGTAGAAGCTCAGTTATTCTTGACGCCCACTTATCGATTGGCACCTTCTTCTCCAAACTGCTCTTCATCTTCACCATGTTGTATGTAATTGACACCTCCGGTTGTTGACTTCAGTGACAACAATGTCAAAAAAATACTTTTTTGAGGGCGTCCATTCGAACAAGCACTGCCAAATGAGCATTATCACCTGAGCCCACAGATGCATCACACTGAACTGAGGGCCATTGGCAATAACCCATATCCCTTTCCAGGTGCTCTTTCACATTG